TCTACCTCTATTTGTGTTAGTTTGGGTAAATAGCATGTTTCTAGAAATTTGTCCATTTCATCTAGGTTTTCAAATTTGTTGGAGTGCAGTTTTCCATAATAATTATGAGCTTCTTTATCTCTGTTGGGTCCGTTGTAATGTCACCAATACCATTTCTTAATTTGGTTACCTGCCTCTGTTTTTTCCTTCTGTCAATCTAACCAGTGGTTTGTCTATTATTGATCTTTTTCAATAACCCACTTCCAGTTTTTATTATTCTTTCTATTGTTTTTTATTTCATTTATTTCTGTTCTGATCTTTATTATAGACTTGCATCGCAATGTATGACTGCATATACATCCATGGTCCCACACTTCCCCCCCCCCCCAAAGGAAAGCAGCTTTCCTTTTATTTTTTTCTAACAGTTTAAACAGTGGAGCTCTAGTGGCATATTGGATAAGGCATCTGGCTGCTAACCAGAAAATGGTCAGCAGTTCAAACCCATCAGCCACTCTGAGAAAGAATATGGGGCAATCTACTTCTGTAAACATTTACAGCCTTGGAAATCCAATAGGGGTCACTTTCAGTCAGAATCAACTAGATGATAGTGGGTTTTTAATGGTTTTAATGACACAAACTCAGATTCCTGTAGCACTGGACCACAGGGGGATAAAGGCAGGTGAGGCAGAGGACACGGCTCTGGGTGTGGGCTCTCGGGCTTTGTACAGCAGGCACGCATCGACAACACGGGCTGTGAAGGTGGAATAGTGGGCAAGGCTAAGTGTGCTCTACTCCCTCCCCACTCACTTCCTTTTGCTGCTCTGCTCTCACCACCCTCCCTCTCAGCCAACACCCACCAATACTCATCCCTCCAGCCTCTGGCGGCAGCTCCAGAAACAGCAATAAGGAGAATCAGAAACCATGAGGTTTTACTATGATATTTGTACAAGGTCCAAATCACATAATGTCCTGTTTCACAGAACTTTTCATGGACATTAAGCGACACATACCTGTATTTCCTTTTTTCTGATAGCGTTTGGCTTATTTGAGCTTCTTTTTCTATTTGTTCAAGTTGTCAGTTTAAATTAATGATTTTGGATCTTTCTTATTTTGTAATATAGGCATTTATTGTTACAAATTTCTCTCTGAGCACAGCTTTTGCTGTGTCCCAAAGGTTTTCATATATTGTGTTTTCATTTTTGGTTGATTCTAGGAATTTTAAGTTTCACTTTTGATTTCTTCTATGACCCAATACTTTTCAGTAGTGTATTACTTCGTTTCCATGTATTTATTTATTTTTTTCTTATTACTCCTGTCCATGATTTCTAGCTTCAAACCATTATGGTCAGAGAAGATGCTTTGCATGATTTTAATCTTCTTAAATTTGTTGAGACTTATTTTGCATCCTAGCATATGCTCTATTCTGGAAAATGGTCCATGTGTGCTGGAAGAGAATGTATACTGATCTGATCCTGGACAGAATGTTCTACGTATGTCTATTATGTTCAATTGTCTTCTTGTTTTAGTTAAGTTCTCAATGTCCTTAATGATCTTCTTTTTAGATGTTCTATCTATAATTGAGAGTGGTGTGTTGAAGTCCCCTACTATTACTGTGGAGTTGTCTATTTCTCCTTTATATTAGTCCGTATTTGTTTCATGTATTTTGGTGCATTGCTGTTAGCTGCATATGTATTTACAATGCTATGTCCTCTTGCTAGTTTGACCCTTTTATTAATATGTAATGTCTTTCTTCATCTCTTGCAATAGATTTTGATTTAAACTCTGTTTTATCTGATCCTAGTATGGCCACCTCTGCCCTTTTTTGTTTAATGGCTCCAGGAAGTATTTTTCTCTACCCTTTTATTTTGAGTCTGTTTGTATCCTTATTTCTAAGGTGTGCTTCCTGTAGATAGCAAAAGGATGGATCACTTTTTTTTTTTAAATCAGTTCTCCCACTCTCTGCCTTTTCCATGCAGTGTTTAAACTATTTACATTTAAGGTTATTACTGAAAACTGAGTATTTACCTCATTCATTTTGCTATTTGTTTTTTGAGAGTCTCATATCTTCTTAGATTTTTTTAATTCTGATTTTTCTGTTTCTGTTTGCATCTGGGTGCTTTCTTGTGATAAGCCTTATTGCTAACTTCCTTCTCTTCTTCTAAATGTTTCTCCTTGGTGATTTCTAAGTGATTACCATGTATGTTACATTCCACAAATTCTTGATATACTCATACCTACCCCATTTCTGTTGGTATGTCTCCATGAAAATCAATACACAACCTATATTTTGTAAGTTTACTTTGTACTTATTTCATACAATTTTGATGTTGTATTATTTGCAGGATTTAATTGACTTTAGTCCCTGAAAAAATCATATACTTGGTCCTTATGATTGTACAGGTTGTTGTATTTTTTTGAAGATTTTTTTTATTTTTGTTTGTTTCCCCATCCACACACCCCAGGTATAGAAATGCTTATTTATTTAATGCTCTTGCCCTTCCATTTGGAGTGTTCCCTTGACTAATACTTACAGAATTGTTCTGGTGGTGGCAAATTCCCAGAGCTTGTTTGTTTGGGAATGTCTTGATTTCCCCCCCGTTTTTTAGTAACAACGTTGCTGGGTAAAGAATTCTTGGTTGGCAATTTTTTTCTCCCAGTACTGTATATATGTTGCTCCATTGTCTCCTGGCCTATAGAGTTTCTGGGAAGAAATCCATATTGATTCTTATGAAAGTCCTTTTGTATGTCATAAAGCATTTTTCTCTTGCTGCTTTTAGATTTCTGTCCTTGTCTTTAGCTTTTAAGAATCTTATTAGGATATGGCACACAGTTTATCTTTTTGTTATCTCTTCTAATTGGGGTTCATGTAGCTACCTGTATTTGCAGGCTTAGTTCTCTGTTCAGACCTGAAAATTCTGATTATCTCTTGAAAAATCATTTCTATGCTTGTATTGTTTTCATGGTGCTCTGCAATTCCAATAATTCTAATGTTAGATTTCTTAATTAAATTCCCTATTTCTTTTTGGCTTTGTTCACTTTTCTTGGTTCTCTGCTTATTTCTCTTGAGATTTGACAGGTTTAGCTATTTTATCATCTAGTTAACTTATTCTATGCTCTGTCTGTTCAACTCTATTGTTGAGTGTTTCTCTTGATTTTTCTAATTGAGTTGTCCAATGATGTTTTCAATTTCGGTATCAAGTCTCTCATATCATCCCTCCATTTGTTTCCTGATCTCTGTTAGTTTTTCTGTGTGCTTTTTGCTTTTCTTGAACATAGTAACCACCATGGTCTGAAAATTATCAATTCTTTGCATTAATGTGACCTCCATAGGAAAAATTTCCTCCTTGTCATATTTTGTTTTTGATTGGTCCTCCATCTCTTATGATTTTGTGTGTTTCACTACTTTTTGTTGAACTTGAGCCATTTTGTTATCTTTTATTTTTTTACTTTAAATTTTGTATTCTTATTTTTCTGGGAATATTTTCTGATTGGATGCCCTAGTGGTACAGGGGTCAAGCACCCGGCTGCCAACCAAATAGCTGGAGCCTGTACCCACCAGCTGTTCCACAGGACAAAGACGCAGCAGCCCATCTCTGCAAAAACTGGCAACCCTGGCAACCCCACAAGGTAGCTCCACTCAGCTTCATAGGGTAGCTATGAGTCAGAAACAAACCAGCAGCAGTGGGCTTGATAGTATGTTCTAAAAACCAAGAGGGCACTCTTATCCTTAGTTTTTTTTTCTTTGTTTGTTTGTTTTGTTTTTTTAGCATTGATTCAGGAGTTCTGCATGCCTGATCTCTGGAATTCAATACACCAGTGGTGGGGGGCAGGGGCTTAGCTGTTTGCAGATGCTGATATATGCAGTGGAGCTCGACTTTCTTATAGTGAAGGTGGGGGTTTTCTGTGTCTTCCCCTCATGGGCACCCCTACATAACCTTATCTCTGATGTCCTACTGAGGGACTTTGCCTCTGTGCTGCATATCCCATCAGTATAAAATATTCTCCTTGCCCTGTTACCCTTGCTGTTCCTCCCAGTTCTAGTGCCCATCCACCACTAGCCTCAGTGAGATTCAATAGCACTCTCTTGCAGCACCACTGTCTCCTTTCAACTCCTTCCAACTGAGCAGCCCATGAACTCCTACAGCTACTCTGTGCTGCGTTAAAAAAAAAAAGGAAAGAAAAAATAGGCTATAGCTTCCTCAGATTAGGTACTTTTCTATGTTCCTTGTTTAGAGTGTTACCCAGCGCTGTGTCAAAATGGCTATGAGGTAGTACACCCAATGTTAGCAGGTAAGTTCCCCCAGCTTCTTTGCAATCGCTGCTCCTCCTCTTCCCCACTCTGGACTCATCCTAACTCTCCAACACCTCAGCTACTGTCAGAGTTCTGAGACCTCAGTCTGTGGAGCCTGTATTCACTCTGACATCTTGCTCTGCCCTCCTTCAAAGGTGTTTTATGTTAAGAATAGATGAAGGGAAATGCTCCTTAACTGCTCCCATTGCATAAATTAGCACCTATTTACTAATAATAGCAAGATAAAAAAATTTCCCTTACTAGTGAAAAAATAAAGATGCAAAAATCTTGAGCAGCTGTAACTGCCAGAGTTGCCAACACTATCCCACTGCAAACATTCCACCATATTACAAAACTTTCCTATGCTCTGAAAGTCTGAAAGTCTAAAGACGTTCGTTGAAAGGCGCCCATGGCAAGAAATAAAGAAAACAGATAAAGCCTAAAACAGTATGATCTCTGTTATATATCTTATTAAAAATAGAACTGTCTTGGTGGTAGAGAGGAAGAAAAAGAAAAACAGAAAGAAAAATAATATTAAGAGACTTGAAAGTTGGCAGAAGGGAATAAAGATAAATGAAGGTTCATTAGAAAAAAAAAATTGGTGGATAGTAAACTCCAAAAAACTTTTATTTGTAAGGTTCCAAAGAGAAGTTCAACTTTTTATGTTTCTATGTGTCTAGTCATTAGTAGAAAGTTAGTATTTCCATGTTTTACAAAGTCAAACACTTACATTTGGTTTCCACATGAAGGTGATTCCTCAAGAAAAGGTATGTGATTTGTTGATCCAGAATTATGAGGAATGCTTGTGTGAGTACTTGAAGCATCATGTGTTACTCTCTGGCTAGAGTCTTGGGGTGGGGTAGCATAACTTGTCACAGAAGAACTGTTAGATCCATTGCTCTTGCTCCCATTACACTGCTGGCTGAGTGCTGACACCTCACTACCAAGGCTATCCATTCCAATATTTAATTCACCAAGCTTTTGAATGGACCTATAAAATAAAACAATGTAATTATTTTTAAATAAAAACTTGATTACATTCTTAATTTATAGATGAATAAAAGTTTCAGGAGGTAAATACATATATACATAATATATAATCTATGGCAATTTTAAGTATTGAAAAATTACCATCAACTCAAGACATAATCAAGATACTGAATGATATTATTATTCTAAACCTTCCCCTACCAGGGCCTGGTTTTCAGCATATTTTCTATTCCCTGTTCTTGGTTGAAACTCTGCCCACCCCACAATTCAAGGTTGTTTTTTTTTTTTTTTTCCTTTCCCCCTATTTTTTTTCCTCGTGACTAACCCCATTACTTGTTTTCTTTTTGCACTCTTCCTATTTTTTTCCTTCATTTATTATTCTCCTTCCCTACTGTTTTTTTTGTTTTGTTTTGTTTTGTTTTTCTCTCCTTCTTCTTAGTGCCCTATCCCCAGATATTGCAGGTTTGCTTGTTTTTTCTTCTTTTTATTTCCCTTTTCTCTTTTTTTGGTT